GTGGACCAATGATTGGACACTATCTTCACATGTAAAATCAAAAGCCAACGACCAATCACTCACCTTCAATCCACATGTTAAAATCTTCAAGATGTCTGCATCGAAGAATTTTTATATATCGGTAATTCTCTTATCAAGATTATTCTAATATAATTGTATTAAGATCATTATTAGTACCGCTAGATTTTTATTTGTAAAATATAATTTCTATCTAATGAGTGAATTCAACAATATTCAAATATAGTTCTTATATAATTATATCAAAACCATTTTAACTCGAGATTTATGGTATGCGTGTCTATATATATAACATATTTTTTAAATTATGTTTAAAAACACGCATTCAACTAGGTATGTTTTCATATACTTTTTATATAGATCCTTATTTAAGAAAACAAAGAAATTTATATATAATTTTACATCTAACCGGCATGGAACTCAAATGATACCTGGGCTGTCGAGGTCTGCGACGCAGAAATCCTGAAGAGGGCTATGATCCGATGCAAATGCAACAGAACAAATTAAAGAAATGAGTAATAACAGGAGAATTCTGGCTGCCATTTGAAGCTAATGTTGTTTTATATTGCTTAGCTATATATTCAGATTGGTTTGATGAATGAAGATGAAAGAAATGCCATCTTTTTATAGGTGAGTGAGCGAAAGCGTGCATGCGAGAGGGTCAATGATGCCGTCCGTGGCTGTAAAATAATATTCATCTTTTTCTTAGTACGCATTCGCATAACCAAATAATAATATACTTTAGTTAACCAATTTACTTTACCAAGTGTTGCTTATTCAAACCATACAATAACAGATTAATTCTCTTAAACTGAATGCTGAAGTAAGATTGATTTGTTCTTTTCCTGTGACATTGTCGATGCAATACATGTGGAGACTGGGGAGATTGCCGAAGTTAAAAGAAAAAAAAATATATATTTAGGAACAATAAAGAAGGATGTTAAGCATAGGAGTTTGCTTCTATTTTCTTTGAAGTTCACTCAAAATTTCAGCTTCATGTGTTACATATCTTGAATTCTTTGATATCAGATATGAAAATAAATATGATTTCTACATAATATAAGTGATGAAATCCAAAAAGCTTTAAGTATGTAAAGATGTAAACAAATTTCTGTATTTTCTTGAATTTACAATAGCTTTAAAGATTGTATCTAGCTAGAAATACTTTTGAATACATCTCAATCAAATAAATTTTAATAAAATTTCTCTTTTCCTACTTCTAAAATAAAATATTTAAACAAAACAAAACCTCAACACTCCCAAAGTTTCTTGGAAATTTCTATGTGCACAGTTGCTAATTAAGCAAAACTACACAAAACTACAAAGAGATTTATACAAAATTGAGTGAGTTGAAGCAGTCCTCGGTTTCAGTTTGTACTTATTATAATACAAAATAGACTATAGCTATATAGTAAAGGAATTAATCAGTCTCAGATTCAAGCAGATAAGCTCAAATTACAGCTTCTTAGTTCCCACTTGAGAGTTGAGACTTGGTATTTCTTGAAGAGGTCATCAAAAAGAATTTTTGAAGAGGTCTTGAGAAGCATTTTTTTATTGAGATAGATGGGAGAATTATAATACAGTACTAAACTTATACATCACCTGAAAATCTTGGTCAAATAATGAACATAAATATTTATAATTAAGAAGCATCATCTTTAACTTTAATGATAAAGTCTTGGCATTTTAGATTTTAGTTAGAGTCCATTCAGTCTATAAAATTTCACAACATCAAATATAAGTTCCATCTGTGACAGAGCATCTCCTTCCCTTAGAATAATAATTCTACGAATGGAAGAGATCTCAGTGGTGCTTCATTTAACTCAAGAAGCCAATCACACAAACTTCCCATCAATACTTTTTCGATGAATACCCATTAAATAATACAACTGATAATGTTATATAACAAGCTGCCTCATTTCATCCTATGCCCATTACAAACCAACAAAAGCTATACATGCAACTACACAGTACAAGCATCCATCATTCAAATTAAAAAGTAAAGCAGTCACAACATAACCCATCTTGACATACATACCCACATTATATTACATACATACACATCAACATGCCAATCAATCTAAGTTGACCTCTCAACAACAGAAACATAAACCACTCACTGAAAGAGAGCCAGCAAGATACAGATTTCTGACAAACTGAACATACGGCAAATAACATGACACCTCAACCTGCAATTTCCTCTTCTTCCTCGTCATATTCCTCGTTGTCAACAGTTGCATCCTGATACTGCTGATATTCTGCCACCAAATCATTNAATCCGAAGCCTCTTGGTTCGACATCACCTGCATAATCAAATTTAACATCATATACATTGTCTGTCGCCCAATTATTTGTCGTCTATGTAATGAATCAAGTCTTGATAATGACATGAAAATCAAAATCATACCTTCCACAGGCCATCACTAGCCAAAATGAGGAATTCAGTATCCCTGTCTATCATCTCCGTCCTCACATCTGGTTCTGAAGTAATGTGATCCTTCAGTTTCCCATCTCCGAAAGCTCTTGTCATTGCCAACTGCCCGTCCACACGTGGAACACTCCCTGATTTCATTAACTTGTTAGTTTCATTGGAAACCGACTTTTATTGTTATGTTGTAAATTGGCTGTTAATATTTGCATTGTTTACCTGGCCTTTTAGACACAAATCCACCTCTGCTCTCAACAAGTTTTTTCTCTTTCTGGGGCTCATGATCCACTGTTATGGGTTTTGTGGTACCATTTCTGCATAAGATTGCTCGAGAATCTCCCACATTCGCCACGATTAGCTTCTCTCTGTCAATTAGTATTGCTGTAACTGCAGTCGACCCACCTCGTGATTCCACTACTTTATTCAGAATCTCATCATCTGTGGCTTTGTATGCTCTCTTGATAGCCTTCTTAGGACTTGTCCAGAAATCAGGCTAATCTCTAGACAATTAAAGAAATGAATTTTCTTGGAAAGATTTCTATCAACTAAAATAAGAATTTAATTGAAGGCAAACCCAGTTTCATACCTGACTTAATATGTTATCAAAGAGATGAGATTGTAAGTATTCTGCAACATAGCGTCCTGAGTGACCATCGAAAATTGCATATAGTCCAAGCTCATGGCCATTGACTTCCCTAGTTTCTGCCACAATATAGTCTTCCATTCCATGACCCATTTTCCCTTTAACCAAATGAAAGCCATGAGTGACGAGTAGCTTTGAAGGCTCCTCTTGCTCTTCCTCCTCCTCCTCCTCATTATCTTCATCTTCACTGGTATCATGTTCATCAACCTCCTAAAATTATATTTTACAATTATCGACAATTAAAAAAAAAAAAAAAAAAAAAAAAAAAGACCATCCACTGGATGTGTTTCAATCTTTTTTCTCCCTTGTCACTCTATATATTACAAGATTACAGTTTTCATTTATCGAAGAGAGACATCCAAGAGTTTGCCCGCGCAGTTTATATCTCAAGCTAAAAGAACAATAGTGATCACTGGCAGCTCAAAATTTTATGTTACACAGCCAAATTGACTGTGATGACAATGAAAAAAATATATGAAAGAATAGGAATAACAAAGGATGGAAGAGATAAACTCACCTTCATATCTGATGGAACTTCCTCCTCTGGACCATATTCTGCTTTCTGCAATTAATCCCGCCATCGAAAACATAACTAAAAGCTTTCTAAACCATTGAATGTTATACTGAAGATATATATCTTTCATTATCTTTTAATTATGAATCTTTAGCAGTGACTGTAGTCACCGCACACCTACAAATTAATATCACAGAGATTATGCAGCAATTTTCAAAACAGACCTGGATTACATTTTAGCAGAATATGAACACAATAACTACGGAGACATATTCTTTGACAAACTGAAAATGTTAAGATGTATAAACTTGAATTTAAAGAAAAGTTGCATACCTTTTCTTCACAAGAATCGTCTTCTGATTGTTCTGGTTTCTTTCTCTTACAAAAAGAAAACGTAGCATATGGTGAAGGAAAAATATGCATGGAACAGTTGGAAAAAAATAGATGAAAATAAATATGCAATTTCAAATTCCAGTTAAACTAACAGAAGAGAGTTATTTTATCGCGAAACCCAGCCGGAATTTTGATTGAATCATAGAGTAAGAATGACATTAAGCATATAAAAGATGCAGAGGCATACTTTCATCTTCTGTAATAATATCTCTTCTGGAAAATATCCTGCACCCTACGGCATGTAAATTAAGAAAACAAGAGCACGTAAAAAAACTATATTGTAAATTAAACACGTATTTTTTTTTTTTTTTAACGTTTATGCATAAAGGAAGTTGCATACCTTCAAGTGAAGAGAGTTTACTTCCTTCTTCAAGCTTGATGCCCTTTTCTGTAAGTTAAGATAAATTCATTCATATTATATAAACAGTACTGTATGTTGAGAAACATAAACTACACAATGTGATATGCAAAAATTTATTGGAAATAAGAAAAATGAAGTTGCCTTCATCGTTTCTGCTTTATGTTAGGTTTAATTTGCTCCTCATGGCAGTGAAGATTTATATATATAGTAGAAAATATACAGCTGTCTCCATGTTTGAGAGTGCGTTACACCGATGACACTTAACATTGAGACACGTACTTGCTCATATATATAAGCTTCTGTCTGTCACCGCTTGTGTTGGAAATGAGGAGTAGCCTGTAGCCACCCACCCCTTCAACTGGGGCATATGGTATCTTACAGACTTACACAGATATTTATCTTTCTTCAAAGGGAAGTAGCCTGTAGAGCTACCCCACCCACCCCGATTCTAAAGGGTTCATCTTTTTTTCTTTTTTCGTTTAGTTTTAGACTTTTAACATTATTAGAAGTTGAAAAGATAAAAGACACAGAGATGATTCTTACAATTTTTTAAACACTTTAGGTATCCACTTTCACATAATAATTCATCCATTTTGATATATATACATAATATAGAAAAGGAGTATGATGGAAACATAATTTGTAATCCTAGTCAAATAGAATTGGTTGGGGTTAAAAAAATATATTTTAATGTTAAATTGTCCTAATAGGTCAATAGAACGCTTGTAAAGGTTTTTTTTTTTTTAATTAGAAATTGATATAAAGATTAAGTGATCAAAATCAGGTTGCAAATGGAAGCCTTTTACAATATGGTTACAGATTTATTAGTTTTGAGGATTTTAGAGATATTGAGGTGCGTGTAGTTGGTCTAAATACTCCATTCCTAAAAAAAAATATAGATTTTTAATAAATTGGAAAATATTGCTATGAGATTATAGTGATCAAAATCTGGGCAAATGGAAGGTCTTTTAACCAATCTTTATCATATATAGAAACAAAATTAAATACAACGATCCTTTACAATCCTTACCACTCAAATGAAGTTGAATAAAGACCCGTCTCCCTTTCAAATCTGACCAACCAGCAGGACTACACACCTTCAAAATATACTTAAATACAAAGTAAGGAAGTCAATAGGTCTTGGTAGCTTCCACAATTTCTTTGAATAAAACAACTCAAAAATTCCTCACTATCCATAATTCTATCATACTCCTTGACATAGTATGAACTCTATGAAAGTCATTAAGTATCTTTAAAAAATACAGATGTTGATCTGTTTTACTTTAAATAGGAGTTATAACTTTATGTTTCCAACACATTATGTTAAAATTACACTTTTTTTTTTTTTTTTTTTGTAACTATTTGAAGCTACTTTTACGAATTAAGAGAGACGAAGGATTTATGCTATTGTAACTTCTCGCAAGGGGCAGTCTTGTGAACTAACAAAAGCAAAAAACACAAACAAACTTCACATACTAGAATAGTTACTTTATAAATACGCATACACTCCTATAATATAATGAGGAATACTACCACATTTTTATATAAATCTCTATTATAAACTTTGTGATAAAAGATGATTGTGTGAAATCAACTCAATAATTTTTTTGTTACATTCAGTTTTGTGAAAAAAAAATTGATAAAAAGATTGGGGTAGAAAGTCTTGGTAAATTATGAAAAGAAAAGCACAAAACAAAATTACATACGATATTCCTTCATATTTGCAACAACACTCAATAACACTTCATTCTTGGTATCATCGAGAAGGGGTGTTCCAACAGGGCTCAAGAAATGAGAACAGTTCTACCCTTCTTGCGACCTGTAATAAAATTTTTATTCTTTCTTAGCTTTCCTAATTGCCATTTGCAATCAAGAATCATCCCTCAAATGATCGAAAACTCAACAAATGGACTTGACTATAATATCTCGAAACATTCAAAGAAGGAAGGGCAAGTTAAACCAAAGAAGGCTAAGTTTTAAATTCAGATAGAATCCAACTTGGAGAAGCTGTGGCTGCGGAAAAGGGCTATTGTTTAAGATTATAAATTCATGAAAGAGTGGTAGCAAAAAAATTTTGACCGGTGAATGATGCAATAAACAACATTCCCGATGTGAACACAAGAGAGTGGTTATTAAATCGCGTGGAGGTTTTCACCATTGACAGGTCAAAGCAATTTATAACTTTTTTGTTCTAGGGGACCCAAAGGACATGCCAAGATTTGTTTCAATGGACAAATGACTCAATATGGTAAGTGTATAGGGATATAGTGGCGGTTTAGAGTGAAGTCTGTTGGGGCTGTGATATTGAATTTGTGGTAGGTAATTTTTGTTTAAGTTATGTATATGCTTTAGTTTCAAACCTGTTATGGCCTGAAAAAGTAGGGTTGACGTCAAACCCAGTCCGCATAAAAAAGTCAGAGCTAGGTAACCGCAACCATTCAGAGAAAGCAATGTCGCATAAGACAGGAGCGGCAGGCTTATTAGTACAGTGGGTGACGCATCAGATAGCTAGGAGTTAGAGTGATTCACGTATCTAATCCCTGCACCAAATCGCGTAAATCGCTACTAGAGGTGGGCAAGAGACTAAGAGAAGGATTTGCACAGGACTAATCTCACAACCACAGATTTAGTAATCGTTAATTTACACCATTCCCATAAAATTGAGAGCTCCTCTCAATTAGGGGATTAGCGAATCATATAAGACAATAGCATTCACTCTCTACCTTCTTGTGTAATCATTTGTGAAGTCGCGCTGAACGCGCACCTGACCAACATATTATAATACAACAAAAAAACGGTGGATGGTAGGATTTGCTCCATGAGAATCGAAACCTTAACACACGTTCTCATGCTTTTCTCTCACTCTCTCATCACGTGTATCTGGAGCCAGCTAGCGTTTCACTATGTGCTTTGTTGGGTAAACAAAATCACGCATCAACAAAACACTTAGTGGACAATATTATGCATTATATTTTAACTTCAACTTTGTTCTTTCTTTCTTTTTATATCGTAACCGAGACTGTTGCTTTTGTCAACCATTAAACTTACAAAGGTGCAGCGAATATAAGTCTACAGGTGCAATGCTACATTGGAGAATTCTTAGTAACTCACACTTCATCATAAACTGTGAGTATCTATTAATTTTGTTTTTTTGGTTGTGTTGAAGTGCAAAGTAGAATACAAATAATGTTTCCTAATTTTGAAAAAACAATATATGTTTCTATTAGATAGCTTAATTTTTGTACAAATAGGGCATATCGATTCAAATTATAATTTCCAAAGTCATGAGTTTCATTTGTATTCCAAATCCAACATGGTATCAAAAGCGTCCGAGTGTGAATCAGCTTTCGCATCAAATAACCCTATTCTTTTGTCCCTACAATTCAAAACACACGACTTAGTTAGCACAATACTCAATATAGCCTCTTCTTCTTATCTAAATTCCAAATAGATACTCGGTTTAGAATTTCCCATGGGCAAACAATCAAAGCTCAAAACTCGACATAATCACAATATTTGATCTTTTACGCAAGTTTATGGTTATGACCACAAACTGAGGGGGAGGGTTGAAAGTTCAAAAGGAATGCAAAAATATGTTTCTTTAATTGTGAAAATATTATGTTTCCTTATTTTAGGAGATTTTAGATATTATACAATATTATGTTTCCTTATTATATAACTAATTTTGTTAAAATAGGCAATACTGATTCAATTATATCAATTCAAATCCTATTGAATTTACTAATATCTCATTGAGTCTCATGTGGTTCATAATATGGCATTTAATATTTTCTTGTAGAATCAGCCTCCAAGGCAAATTAAAAAAGAGAGGGGGCACAAGTAACAGCATGAGCTATCAGGAGATAAGGCAGCGTTCCACAATTGCAACTTTATAGGTTATCAAGGCACGGTGATTTCATTTTTGGAAATGGCTAGTCCCTCTATTTGGTACTTCCACCCCGCTCATTATATTATTCCTAAGTTATTTAAGATGTACAATATGAAAGATAAATTTAAAAGATGAAAAAAAAAAAAAAAAAAAAAATTGTCTTAAATAAGGGTTTATTTTTTTAGTAAAAAAAAAAAAAAAAAAAAAAAGGTCTAGGTTCTAGCTGGTTAACCATATCTAATATAGTTAAATGCTTGCACATCAATATATATGAGAAAACACCTGATAATGTTTTTTGTGATTGAAAGTTACAACTGGGATGTTTATGCAGAACACCACTATAAGATCCAGTGTTCAAATGGCATGAGAGTCAACACAGTGCTGGGATATTGGGGCTCTTTTTTTTTTTTTTTTCCATGTAAAAATTATATGTTTTTTGATAAACTATTAATAAATACTACAATTGTTAATAGGAATATCATTATGAGAGTCTTGACATGCAAATATGAAAGTTAATATTCCATTCCTTACCTAAAGAGATTACAAAATTATTGGGAGATATTTTATTCCTTAGAGAAATTATAAGCATTATTATGAGATATTCTATTTCTTACTTAGTAATTACAAACATTATTAGAGATTATTTTTCTTACATATTCACTGCACATTTGTATAAATATGTGATATGAATCCATCTAAAAACATAATCAATAGATACAATTCTTCTGCAAATTTTTGTGCTACTCTGATTCTTCAATTGTCTTCTTGTTTCATTCAAATAAAAAGCTCTCTCATAATCAAGCTTCCGCTAATCAACCCATTTCAGCCTAAGTTTATTCTAGCCTACAAAACAAGGCACTCGGGTTAGATAACCAAAACAAGGGCAAACTCAACACCTACCTCAAAAACTCACCAGGAGAAGAAAAGGTCTGGACAGCTCATATTGGAGCCCAAACCGAATCAAAATTAATTTTCTGTTCTTTCACTAAATTATCTTCATAACTCGTTCACTAAGAGCTTTAGAATTGCCGTAGATTATATTTAAATAACTTTTATCCACTGTAAAAATAATAAGCTTTAAAAATAATTTTTACATGTGTTTGGT